ATATATATAATTGGACAGACAATGTTAGTGCAGTGACCTGGGGCAGGGGTATGAGGAAATGTAGTCTGGAATTATTTTAGGCATCTGAACGTCATTTGATCAAGCTACGAAATAATACCGGATCGTGGAGATCCGGTATGATTCCGGATTCCAGGCAACTGTCGTTTCATTCATTGTGGCTTAACGCAGGTCGTCGAATTTATTAACCTGATTGATGAGTGGTTGAACGCAGTACTTCACTCAATTGAAAGCCAATATCTGTGCGTTTTGTCCAGTAACAGATATTTACTGACCGGTGCCCCCAAGATCCGGTAGATACGTCCTAACTGGGACAAAAGTTCCATCGTGCTTTCAGTCACTCCGTGACTCTTGTAGGCGGTGATTTGCAAGGAGTCCAAATATTGCCCGCAACTGATTTTGAAATTTGGGATTGTGAATAACTAGTTTCTTCGAGATGGTCTAGTCGACTACGATCAACAGTGTAGGCTGCCGTGAGGTTTCTTGATTATAAAATTGTTTTAAGTAGTGCACAAGTGGTTTTGACAAAGCATGTATCACCAAACAGAAAACTTCTTCCTGGAGACGTCCACAGTACTGCGAATGACGACTGATAAAGTAAATGGAATGATGCAATATGTTATATAAATCTCTCAAAGTAGTGAGCTTCATTTCAAATCCCAAAAATCAAAGTAGAAGTGGATTTGCACCGTGACGGATTCAAATGATAACATGTTTCGAACAAACTCGGGCTTTGCAGGTAATTAGGAATCTGCTATTTAAGGATAACCCGGGTTTACATTTTCTAATTCCCAAGAGTTTTGGGCCGTGAAGCCATTAACTCAAATTGGAGTCTGTGAGTGCTATACGAGAACTGAATACCGGTGAAAGGAAGAAGGCCTTCGCTGCGAAGTTGTTTATTAGGAAATGCCAGCTGACCGGTTACAGACCATTGAACAGGGAAGCAAAACTCTAATTTGTATCTTAGTTACAAAAACTGGGCACCCATCTTCTCCCGAACGCGTCTTCTTGAACTTTCCTGGAGATTCATTGACTCCACTGATTCGTCGGTCAAATCCAGGCAAATGTTACAAAGTGGCTCCGCAACAGATCTCCTTTTTTCAAAAGACGCAAAGCGAACCTACGACCAACACATACTACTCGCGTGCCTCCCCATCTATGGTATCACCGTTACACCGGTATGTCTACTTGCGGCTGACACTGCGTACAAAATCTGACTGCTGGCAGCTCCTGTATTACGCTAAAAAGACTTGGTCTCAAAATCAGTTTGCTGCCTTAATTATCATCTGAGCTCATCTCCGGATATCATCAAATGCAGCACCGTTACACGGTATGTCTACTTGCGGCTGACACTGCGTACAAAATCTGACTGCTGGCAGCTCCTGTATTACGCTAAAAAGACTTGGTCTCAAAATCAGTTTGCTGCCTTAATTATCATCTGAGCTCATCTCCGGATATCATCAAATGCAGCCGAAGCTGCCCGTTTCCCTGGAAAAATTAACCAAACATTTGAGGGTTCACAACATCAGGTTTGCTTGATCATGTTCATTGCTAAATGCCAGTTGTTAAACTCATTTTTTGGATTACTTGTTTATTCAGCTCCTAGGTTGTTTCCTTAAGATACCTCCAGGAAATGGTAAGGAAGATGAGAACCAAAGTCCGTGGAATAGCACCATGGACGGCGAGAATTTACCCTTCCATTTTCTTCGCTGTTCTCATTTTCTCACGTAATGTTTGAAGCGGTTGAGGGGTCCATTTAAGACTTAAAATCTTCATTCCATTCACGATAATTTACCTACTACAGTTTCCTGTGAATCAAGCTAAAATGAGGGTAATACGAAATAAATGGCTTAACGCGCTGTCATTGGTTGATGCGAATTCTGAGGAGTGATTGGCCCGATTAGAACACAAATAGGGAAATGATAGACAGTTCATTTTTCATCTCGCAGTGTTAGGACTACAACGTGTCCAAACTTCTCCCTGCGGATATTATCTATGGAAAACTTCTTCAGTTGATCTGACAAGCTGGTCCTCGATATAGCCTCAGTTATTCAACGTTTCGATGGACTCTGATTTCACAAAGTCTATGACGAACCAGCAAGAAGGGCGAAGCAACATGGCCTCGATACAGGTGTGTCAAGTAAAACACGAAAGTCCTCATTTATCCGACACTCGTTCAAACACACGTTTGCACAGAAATTTTAATTTTGAAGATGATTCTCAACCATCACCAACATCTCGACAAAAGGGAAATTTGCTAAAACTCACGCAAGAAGCAGTTCGTATGCCTTTCTCGCTATTACGACCTAGGGGATATTCCAGTGCATTTCTTGACCAAGTGCCTAGTTGTGTTGAAGACGTTCACACAAGTCAAAAGCGTCGATTTACAATCAACTTATCCGAAAGTCCATGTGATGAAGTCGAGCATAGATTTCTCAAACATCTTGAAACAGACTCATCCAAGGTTGGGATCGGTGGTGACAACTCGATCCTACAAGAAATTCGGGAGAATTCGTGGCCAGACGCTCAGCGCGAACGCTCGTGGTCAGCAGTTCATTTGAAAGAACAGTTTATTGGATTTTTTCAACCAGCAAACAATCGGCTGGCCATGAAGTTGTTTGGGAACAAGGTTGCCTTAGCCTGTGAACGCCGAAGACAGCGTGAACAAGGCAAATGGGTCATTCACCCGTGTAGTAATTTTCGGTGAGTTTGACAAATTTCTAAAATATGCAGTGTGTAGCTGGCACGGGGCAACTAAAACCCTTCAACTGGAAAAATCTTGTCAAAAAGCAACCCGCCTCATTCAGATTTTTTTGAAACCACTTTTAGGCGTCCACTGAGAAGCGATGTTCGGGATGCTCGCTTATGCGGCAAATGTAGAAGATCAGAGCGAATTCCTATGCAACCTTTCAGAATATTTTTGTTTTTGTTCTTATACCATGGAATTTAAGTGTGCTTTTAAGAATTTTAGCGATGTAGGCTTATCAGACACTTCCCCAAGCTATGTAAAATTGAGTGATACATGCACAAACCATCTGATTCGCCGAAATCGTGATAAGTATGGACTATCTCTGGTGTGGAAATATATATTTTAAGTATTATTTGTAATACTTGAAAAAGTGTAAGCGTTTCTTGACACATTGTGTCCAGCTTAAGTTTTGCAACAATTATGTTATTACAGTTAAGTTTCGTTTAGTATTGTGACCGAATCGAGTTACCGCACAAAGCATTACCAAAGGTTATATTGATATACGTTTGCGATTAGTCGAGTAGGAATTACCAATAATAAATAAATGTTCCAATTAAGGTCAAATCTATTCTTTTACATACGGATCATCTGACGACACTTTGAAGTTTTCCGGATAGCTAACTACCAGGCTAATCAATTGGTAATTCTGATTGGAACATACGGGGCATAAGCACACTTTTGGACAGTTATATGTATTTTCACACCAAGGTTTCCCCCAGTCGTGCATTTATAAGATTCTAGTAGACACCTGACCCGTCCGGTCTAAAAGTCTAGACTTACCATTTTATTGTTATTACTATTTTTCAAAACGGTAACCCATTGAATTTGTGCTTAGTCTAGTACTCAAGCAACATCTAAACGCAATTTTGGTGGGCTGTGCGATTTAGGCAAAAAAACAAACACATTGCAAGATAAGAATCATTATCCATGACGCAGGGTTAAATTGTGCTAAATTTGAAAACAACTAAGCAAAATAGGCGAACAAATTCCATTGTACCCTCGCAATTTCTTCCTGGGGATCATCACGCATGTAGCAAGAATTGCTTCAGTGTTTCAAAAGAGCCTGTTTTTGTGTTTCATGTATATTCGTGTAGATTTATGCACCTGACTTTTTTGTCTTTGACAACTGGTTGTCGAAAGGAGCGTGATTTTGTTAGGTGGACAGTAAACACGAACACATTTCAATATGCAAATAAATCACCTCGTACCTTGAAAATAGATGGTCGTTGATTGTCCGTGATTAACCGTGAATTCCCGGTCTGGTCTATTCGGAACACGTTTTCTAACTCAGAAGTAAATTTGAAAACTAAAAAATGTTCGTCAGTAATAATTTTGTGGTCTGCAAACCTTCTAGCGGACCTTCTGCAAACATTCACTAGCAGATCGGGCCATGTGAACCGTCACAGTTCCGTTTCCCAACATTGGTGAGCACCACCTGTTTCCAGTGATTAATTCCATGGGATGAGGTTAAGAAATACTTCTGAGGCCCACATGTTAACAAATGTGGGATCTCAATGTTTTTGTTTTAGAGAGCAGCAATACCTGGAGCACCCACTAGATATTTTTACAGCCCAATGGTTGTTTGGGGCCAGCAACGTCACGCGTCTCCGGGCACACCATAGAGTTTGACACTCGTGTGATTTTGTCGGTAGCCCGCGTAAACATATTAAGCACTTACTTCCCGTCATAATGCATTTGTTAGTTTTTTGACATTCCATTATTCCATTGCTGATTTTGTATACAAAAATACAAAGAAATAGTTGCACACTGTCCTGCTCTAGATATTGACAAATTGTTTGCTTCATCATGTTTGGAGCTCAGTGCGCTTATCGTGAGAGAAAGGACTTTTTTGTGAAGTAAATTTATGAGCGTCATCTAAATTGGAGATGGTTTATGAGGTGCTTTCAACCAAGATTTCGCCTGGTCAATGAAGGCGGTTTTTAACAAAAAGCGGAACTGAAAATCTGGCTTTTTTGTTGTCTCAACCTAGATTGCCTGTAATCTGAGGTGGAATATTGTACAGTAATGGGAACTGTTAGGTTTATCCGGAACGTGCAAAAAATTGAAAACGACAATGGACTATTCATCTGGCTAAGTGTGTTCACAGAGGTTTCTGTCTTCATGCTACGGAGCTGAAAAGTTGACACAAATATAAAAAAACCCTGGTAAATCTGGTCTTAGATTTGTCGGTGAGAGTGCTCTGTTACAAAACAAACAAACAAGATTATTCCCAGTTTTCCGCCAACCAGCAGTTGACTGTATCAGGTAAGTCAGTGACTCTTGTATATTAAGATCTGCTCCCTTACCTTAGTCATCGAATCTCGTAGATAACCTTGTTTTCACGTGGTTACAGAACTGCCATGAGAGAGCTCATATCATTCAGAAAGACAGCTAAGCACATCTGAGGTTAATCCAACCGTTTGTACAACAACTGTAATACAAATTTCGGTGCACATTCCAGATAACAAAGCGAAAGACATATGCCAGTTTCATGTAATCTGACGTTTACCAGTTCCTCGAATGTAGACGGATCAGAAAGAACACATTTCCCCACAGATGATTTAGGGCTCCCAGATTTTTTAACTACATCAGTGAGTCAATTCAACATACCGAGACACATTAACTCTTGGTAAACTGGAATCCAGAGGATGTACGGCGGGTTATAATAAGTTCCAAAAAGACATTCAAGCTGAAGGAATGTCACATTTGGAATCCGAAAGCATGCCCAAAGTTAGATTGCGACCTAGGCGCAGCAAGTCAGACCGTTCGGTCCCCCGGCCACTCAGACATTAGAAAATTTGATTACCCAGGTTGGGAAACCTCAACCAAAAAATCGGGTCTTTTCTTTGTTGGTATTGTTTGCTGTGCTCACGATAAGAATGGTCTACTTTTGTGTGCAAATTTTGTGTGCGGCAGGTTATGTGTAGGGTAGTTAGATTATCTTGGCTCCTCTGCGTCTCTTTGTAACATGAAAAAACCTGTGCAAACTCTACTGTTCGCTAATAATTTGCATCAATTCTGTAGCCTTTTAACCCACCAGAGAGTCCAGATAATGCGCCAAGTTTGGTTCTTGTTATTCAAACTTTGAATGAGAAGCCTACTTCCGAAAAGCAGATCAAAAATATTCCCAAAAAACATTTCTTCATAGTTTAAGAATGCTCTGGGCTTCTAAGTAGCACATTATGTTTTGGAAAACTTGAAATCTGCTAAATTTCAGCAGACAAACTCCGTAATTTAATTCGTTCATTTTCACGTAAAAAGTAGTCATTTTGAAAATATTATTCTCAGACAGTCGTTTTATCGACTTGCGTGTGGTCGCGTTTTACCGGAATATTTCTTTCTACCAGGTGGTTGGGAAATGCTTTTAGCCGCTCACTCTCGTACAGTTGGTGAACGAATATGGGGAGTTTGCTGCACGGACCACCCCACCCCTGTGCAAGCAGTGTACGCGAACATTACATGCGTGTAGCTTGGAGAATTTTAATTAGTCGACCTCACAATCTATTTTCCTAAATGTTGGCTCGCTTGATCTCTGGCTGGGTGACAAACGACGTTTCTGGAGAAGGTTTCATGATTGACGATGCCGCAAGAGAATGTGGTGTTGGACGAATGGTAAATTACCAAAATTAGGAAGGCATCAAATGCAAACGCATATATGCAAAATCGTCAAAATTATAACCTACTGCAATTGTTTAAAGTTTTGTTATTGTGGATGAAACCATTTCATTTCGGCAGTCTTGCTCAGGACAGGCAAATAACCTTATATGCAGCGCGTGCTGACGAAGGACATCCGAATTTAGTCACCTGGGTGGGAGAGTTACTTTGGATGATTGTTTGACCTGTCACTTGTCTATTTACATTTTAGGTCATTTTTATCTCCAACAGGGTCACCAATGAAAGGCTGTACGAACAGCATCGTAATCTTTAGCTGATTCAATCTGTTTCAAATAGTCTTCCCCATAGGCAATCATATTATTCGAATATTAGTGAGAGAGGAGGATAGTGACACACCTGTGCCTGTGATAACTCTAATTCTAAAACTATGAGGAAAGAGCGATGAAAGCTTGCAGTACATTAATAAACCTTCACGTTTACTTGAAACATTCCAAAGACAGATCGATGAAAATTATAGTCAAGAATATTACGTGATGTACCAACTCAGTTCTGGCAACCAGTGCAATTTATCCGCTTTTTTGGTTCACGTAGCTAAAAATAAAGGGGAGCCTTAATGGAAGGAATGATCTCTAGTCTCTAGATGATCCATGCAAGTTATTCTTTGGATTCGATAGATATTTGTGAGCATGAATGCATCGCCAGTAGTTAGTATCCTAGACTGACAAACAGCAATATGTTTACTCATGTGGATCGTTCTTATCAGTGGTTCTTCACGCTGATATATTTCGGCCGCATAGCAAACGGTCTTCGTAGATTGGAAGTGGTTGTGCCTAAGCCTACAAATTATTGGCGTAGTCGTAATCAGTGTCATTAAAATTCGATAAGCATCAACGTAACCACAGAAGGATTTAGGAAAAATAAAGGCACATTCAGATTACCATGCCTTGTAACATTGTATACCCTATGTCTGATGAGAACTACTACTCATCATTGAGTTAATGACTTTAGACTACGTTTCACCTACTCGACATCAGTCGTTTCACAACAACTAATAGCCGGATTCGCCAGCAACAAACTGTGAGTATTCTGCACGGAAAAGCGAGATACCTAATATGTTTTTGGGCGACTAGTTGATTTCCTTCCCGTAAGGCATCACGTGAAGCTCCAGTTCACACTGGAGATCATAACGTAGACAGTGTCGTTGAAGGATGGTGGCACTACACCCCATCTCGGTGCGAGCTACACCACCAAACAAACACTAGTGGACAAATGGTATGCTGTTCAGCTACTAACCTGACAGGGCATTTCAGAATTTCGTTAGCTATTCGCTGGAGGCACAAACG